CTGAATAAAAAGGAGAAAGCAAGCCAGGTGTGGTACAAGCCTTTAATCCCAGCACTCTGGGAAGCAAAGGCAGGCAGATCTCGGTGAGCTCATGGCTCATGAAGGCCAGGTTAGCCCTCAAACTCAAGATGACCTAAACTTCCTGTCTCTACCCCACACCCAAATGCTGGGATTACAGGTGTACACCACCACACGTGATTTGTGAGATGCTGGGAATGGAACCCAGGGCTTCGTGCATGCTAGGCAAGCACTCTACCAACACAGTCACCTCTCAGCCTTCAGCTCAGCTTTCACTGTTTCTCTTCTATGGCTTTCCAATGACAGTCACACCTCTATCTATCCTCAGTATTTCCATGGCACATTATCCAAAAGGACAATTGGAAATCTGGGTGTGTTGGTGCATGTCTACAATCCTAGCTCTCTGAAAGCTACGGCAGGAAGATTCAGAGCAAGACCAGTCTGAGTTACGTACCTTGTCTCATTAAAAACAAAAGAAAATAGGGACTGGAGAGATGGCTCAGTGGTTAAGAGCACTGGCTGCTCTGCAGAGGACCTGGGTTCGATTCCCAGCACACATATGGCAGCTAACAACCATCCATAACAACAGTTCCAGGGGATCCAATGCCCTCTCCTGACCTCTGTGGGCATTGCACAATAACAGGTACATTTACATACACGTAGGCAATTCATTCACATGCATAAAATAAAAATCATAAATAAATTTTTTTTGGTCTTTTTTTGAGACAGGGTCTCCTTGTAGCCCCAGCTGTCCTGGAACTCACTATGTAGACGAGGCTGGAGACCAAAAAAAGGGGGGAGTGAGGGGCTGGAGAAATGGCTCAGCAGTTAAGGCACTGGTTGCTCTTGCAAAGGACCCAGGTTCAATTCCTAGCACCCACATCGCAACTAACAACCATCCTTAACTCCAGTTCAGGGGTCTCTCTCATCCTGTTTCGACCTTGAGATGGGTGTATTTGCATACATGCAGAAAATATACTCGCCCAGCAACAAAATATTTTTTAAAAAAACAAAAGAAAATAGCAGAAAGGGTCATAAAGACAATTGGAGAATGCCCTGTTCCTAAGAGAAAAGGAGAGTGAGAGGCCATGCCTTACTACAGATTCATGGTATTAATTTTATTTAAATACAGTCATTTGGTACTAATTATGAACCAAACTCTGTTCTAAGGGTTTTACAGAATATAAACTTATGTAATGTTCATACCAAATTTATAAAGTAGATTCTTACTGTCTATATTAGTTATTCTTCCTATTGCTGTGATAAAATACCCTGACAAGGGACTGGAGACATGGTCCAGTGATTAAGAGCACTGGTTACTCTTCCAAAGGACCCAGGTTCAGTTCTCAGCACCTACACAACAGCTAACAACCATCAGTAACTCCAGTTCCGGGGATCCAATGCCTTTTTCTGGCCTCTGTGGGCACTGCACACACATGGTGCACTTACATGCAGGCAAAACACTCCTACGTATAAAATAAAAATAAAATAGAAAACAATTTTTTAAAATAAAATACCCTGACAAAAGCAACTTAAGGGAAGAAATGTTTCTTTTAGCTCAGTTTGAGGGTTCAGTCCATCACGGTGGAGGGCAGCAGGAGCCCAAAGGCGCTGACTACATTGAATATAGTCAGGAAGCTGCAAATGCTAATGCTGCTGCTCACTGATCCTGAGATGTTGGTTGACAGAGAGCTCCAGGGAGCCTCTTGTCGCCACCTCCTAGAGGTGAATTACAGTTACCTGCCACCACACAGGGCTTTTGCATTTTTGCATGAGCTCTGGGAGTCACTCTGGGCCCTCAAGCTCTCAAGCAGCAGAAGATTTTACCGACCTGTCTCCCAGTCCTGCTCTCCGGCCCTCTCTTTTTATTTTAACACAAGGTCTCATGTATCCAAGGTTGGACTCAGACTTACTATGTAGTTGAGGATGGCAAACTTCTGATCCTTCTGTCCCTACCTCCTGAGTGTTGGGATGACAGGTGTATACCACCATGACTGGTTTATACATGGCTGGGGATCAAACCCAGGGCCTTGTGCATGTTAAGCAAGCATTCTACCAACTGAGGTACATCCCCAGTCACTCTGATTTCGTGCCATTCCCCCCGGTATACCCTCTACTGTGGTGGCCATACTGAGCCTGAGCAGATCGTATTCCCATGTTCTGTCATTCATTGGAATAGCTTCTTCCCTTCCCAGTTTGTTCTCCTGGGGCAGTCTTAACATTCCCTTCCCTTTATGTCTCTTCTGAAAAGCCCTGCTGTGTACCCAGCACTGTACTAGTCACTGGGGCCATAGCAGGGGAACATGGCAGATATGGCAGAGTGAGTGTCCCTCTTGGGCCCCTCACCAACCTCTGCTTGTGTCTAGGATGTCTTCTTTGTATTGTAACCGTCTCTTCCACAGGCTATGGGTGTCTGAGGATAGGACTTCTGTTTCACCTGTTTTTGAATCCCTATTACACAGTCCATGGAATGCATCATTAAATATTTGTCAGTTTCATTTACTCACAAAAGACTCACTGAGCATTTTTATACCAAGAATGTAGAAAGTGCTGCTCATATAACTGTGAACAAACCAGCTTGATTGCTGCCCTCTTGGTTTGTTTAGTTTGGTGTGGTTGAGACAGATCTTGCTCCATAGCCCTAGTTGGCCTGGTACTTGCTATAATAACCCAAAGTGACCTCAGATTCACTGAACTCTTCCTGCCTCAGCCTTCCAAATAAGGGAATATAGGCATGAATCACCTATTGGAAATTGTAGGTATCATGGGACAGATGGAGCATTTGATTAATGAGTGAACCAATTGCAGAAGTGTCCTGCTCCTAAATGAAGCAGCCAAAAGCAGGAGATGTACAGGAAGTAAAGAGGCAGGTATTTTGGTAGTTAGGAAATGACACCACCTTGTCAACCTTTCTATAGAGACCTGGAAAGTCAAGAAACTGAGAGTCTGGTTTACAAAACTTAATTGTAGATGCATTATGTATTAGCCATGTGACCTTAGACAAATCCCATGGGGATAATAATATAATAGGGTTAGGATTTAATGGGATAATGTTTTTCTGTTTGGTTGGTTTGGTTGAAGGTCTCTCAAAGTAGCCCAGGGTGGCTTTGAACTCCTTTGATCCACATTTAGCTTCCTGAGTGCTGAGATTAAGGCATACATCACCAACTGTAGCCCAAGATGGTGGCGCACTCAGCCCCATCAGGGACAACTGTAAGACCCTCTCCAGGGTTCAGGGAACTCCATGGAAGAGGGGGCAGAAAGAATGCAAGAGCCAAAGATAGGGAAAAGTACAGCAAAAGATGTCTTCTGGATATAACAGCTTTTGGACTCGTGAACTTGCTGCAGCCATGGATATCTGCCCAAATAGACACAAGAATGGGCCCATCAACATTTCATCATGGATGAGGGAAGGACCCATGAGGCCCCATCCCTCCCAGAGAAACTAGAGGTAATTAACGCTTCCTAGATGAGGGTGTCATGGTCCTGAGTTGTGTAGCCACAGGTAAGCTGCCCTCACTCCATTAAATAACTTCCCACCCACACTTGGCAAGTAACTCTAATTAAACTCAGAGGACGACACAAAAAAATAAGATTAAAGTAGGAGGGTGACTGGTTAAGAAAAAGGATGCCAGTGGTAAAGGGAGAGAGGAGAGGGAAAAGAGTGGGATGAAAATGACTACAATTCATTCTATAAATGTACAAAACTCTAAACAATAATTTTTTAAAAGATAATACACTTTAAGCTGGGCATGGTGGCATACATGCCTTTAATCCCAGCATTATGGAGGTAGAGGTAGATGGATCTCTGTGAGATTGTGGCCAGCCTAGTCTACATAGTAAGTTCCAGGCCAGCTGTGGCTATAGGGAGACCCTGTCTCAAAAAGACCAATAATAATAATAAATAATAATAATAATACAATTGAAAGCCTATGGCAGTTCCCTACCGCTTGCTCAGTGTGAGTGGTACCTCAGAAGCACAGCAGGAGGGTCTGGTCCTAGCCCTGGCCCACAGTTTTAGCCTCCAGCCAAGAACTGGCCCCTTCCCTCCTTCACACCTTCTGGCCTCCAGCTCCCTCTACCACCTCCCTCCACTACTCAGCTCTGAGTTTCCACCTACTGGCTCTCAAGGCCAGGGTTTGTCTTTACAAGCCTACTGCAAGGGAGGTGCCAGTTAGAGCATGGGAGCGGGGAAGCAAAGAAGGAGAAAGCACAGATGCTAATCCAGACCCCCTTGGCATGTGTTGTTCCCTAGCATCTCCATAAAAACACTATTTTACACCATGTCTCACAGCCCATAAGCTTGTAGATGATTATATGTTTGTGGATAAATTTCAGTTTTCTTATTCCCAGAAGTAACACTGCTTCTCCCTCCAGACAACAGAAGTGCATTCTCAAATAATGAATAAACAAATGAACACTAATAAATAAATGACTGAATTCTCAGGGGCCCATACCAGGAAGAAGGAAACAAATAAGGCCAGGGGAGCTGCCTTACTGGAGGTTAGACTGCCTATCCTGGTAGTGCCCAGGGCAGGGTCAGAGGTTGGCCAAGCGCCAGGGGTAGGAACGGGCTCATCTGGAGGTAGAAACAATTGCAAGTCCAGCTGGAGGAGTAGCTAAGCACTAGACCACTTACCCAGCACCAAAAAATAAAAATAAATAAACCCTGCGAGGTCAACGGTGCTGGGAAGAAAGTGATGGGAGAGAGTGGCGGTGATTGAACAGCGCAGGGGACAAGATTAAATTCCCTGGTCATCTCCCCAGTCACTTCCAACAGACCTGCCGACTCTGAAACTAAAAGTTTGAGGGCAGATCTAGTCACCAAGGTTCTTCCGGAAGGAGGTTCAGGACGCTGCACTGCACCTTCCCGCTCCCTCCTGCACCAGTCCGGAGCTTGAGTGTGCCGTCTAGACTTCCTGCCACCGCCTCCTTCTCCAACACCCAGCCTTGCCCCACCTGCCCCCAGCCCACAACCTTACCTGGGAAGCCAATGCAGAGGCGTCCCAGACTGCAGTCTGAGCTCCCTCTTCCTGGTGTTTGGGGCCAACCGGGGCTGCCTGCGGGGAACTGCAGCCTTCCAGGCTCTCCTCCCGCCCTCCCTGAACTAAAATCGTCCAGACAGGTTCCCGAGGGGGAGGGAGTCGGAGGAAATCCCCTCCCAGCCTAGTGGCCTTGCCTGGGCTGGGCCAGCAGGCTCTGCAGTGTCGTTCCTGGGCTGGCCCTGGATGAATGAGCCCTCTCCGCCTGCTTGGGTCCGTGCCAGGGAGCCTGTGACAGCAGCCCTTGCTCTTTCTCCTGGGCGCTGCCCTCCATGCCTCCTTCTGGCCCTTCCCTCCTGCTTGGTCCTGGGCCTGCCTTCCACTCTCTGCTCCCTGGGAAAAGTCTGCAAAGAAAAGTCTCAGTTACCTCATCATGCTCTGGTGTGACCCCCTAGACCTGGTACCACACTACAAAGGCTAGGTGACTTGATGATGCTGGGCAGAGGCTTAATCACAAGGCCCCGGAGTTCTGCCCACAGACTGGATGTACCTTTGCCATGGTACAATAGGTCTGCCAGTTCTGGTTGTCCATTGGAAGCATTTTGAGAATGACTGGCCTTGTGCTAAGCCCTGAAAGAGACGTGGGTTAACCTGGTTCCTGCCCTCCCTACTGCACTGGGAAGCAAAGAATGAAGTCCTTTACTGAAGGCTTGCCCAGGGTTCAGGCAGCAAGACCAGGGAGGATTGACCTTCGAGGGAGAGTTCTGGAAAACCTCCTGAGGATGTCATACAAGAACTCAGAATTGTACTCAGCTTGCTAAAAAACTTGGACTTGACCCCAGAGGCACTGAGAGACAGGGAGAAGGTTTAGACACAGGACTCAAACTCAGCTTGCATTTGTTTTTCAGGACTGAGGATGGATCCCAGTTCCTCGCACATGCTGGACAACTGCTCTACACCCTCAGCCTTTAAATAGATGACACAGACCTATAAAGAAAGGTTTGGGGACTGGAGAGATGGCTCAGCAATTAAGAGCACTGGCTGCTCTTGCAGAGGATCTGGGTTCAATTCCCAGCACTCATGTGGCAGATAACAACCGCCTATAACACCGGTTCCAGGGGAATCAGCACCCTTTTCTGACCTCTGAGGGCATTGCACAATATGGGTGTACTTACATACATCCAGTCAATACACTCATACACATAAAATAAAATAATAAAGAAAATATTTTTTAAAAAAAAAAAAGAAAAGAAAGGTTTGTAGAGACAAGATTGGTGGCAAGAAATCCAATCTGGCTGCTCTAGGAGCAAGGCAGCTGAATGTGGTGTCATGTTTGTAATCCCAGCTTTCAAGAAGCAGAGGCAGGATTGTCACGAGTTCAAGACAAACTTGGGTTTCATAACAGGACCCTGTCTCAAACAAAGAGTCAAGAGAGTCAAAGCAATGGTAATAGACGCCTGATCCAGGGCACTGACCAGGAATGATGAGGAAGAAACAGAATCAAGAGATGTTAAAGGAAAGGCAGAGTGTGGTGTCACATACCTGGAATCTCATCACTTAAGATGTGGAGGCAGGAGGATCACAAGTTTGAGGGAAGCCTGGGCTACATATCTCAAAAAGACAAAAGAAAAGAAAAGTCGAGAAATTATAATTCAGAGACATCAGAGGTACAGTACTTGCCTAGCACGCAGGAGCTCCTAGGTTCAATCCATAACAATAGAATGAAAGAAAAGAAAGGAAAAGACACAAAAAGGGAAGAGTCTAGAAGGAATCCCACGTTTCCAACTTGAATAAACTAGCTAGGCTGATGTGGCGCTCAGGGGGAAAGCAGTGCTGAGAGAAGTATACTCTGCTCCAGTTTATTCAGGGATGCTTGTGCGCACATCCCGGGAGCAGTGGCTCCAGTAAAAGAGGACCCAGGCATCAGTCAGGGTCCAGGGAGGAAGGAGAAGGTACATTCAACAAGAATAGACGGAAAGTTAACAAATGGATTATTTACAGAAATCTAGACAGGGTAAAGGAAGCAGCTAAGAGCTGTTGAAGATCAGGAACCAGCAACAGTGGGAAACATTTACCACACCTCTGTCTCAAGGGACAAGGAGAAGCAGTTTTACTGAATTCGGTGTGAGGTGGAGCTGAGGACAAGGCTGTGAGAGGAGCAACAGAGAAAAGTCACCAATGGAGCAGAAGGGACCAGGGAGGAAATACCCTAACCACTTCCTTCTCCCACCTTCCTAGTCCTCATTCCTTTCATTGACTGAACTTAGCCAGAAACCAAAAGGCAAGAGAACCCAGGACTGATGTGTCCTCAAGGCACAGAACACTGCTGAGAATTGATGTCAGGAGTCAGCAGACTGCTGGAAAGATAGAAATTTAAGAGTTGCATAGGGCTGGAGACGGTGCACACTCTTAATCCCAGCATTCCCAGCACTTGGGAGGCAGAGGCAAGTAGATTTCTGTGAGATGGAGGCCAACCTGGTCTACAAAGTGAGTTTCTAGGCCAGCTGCAGCTACAGGAAGATCCTGTCTAAAAAATATAAAAAAAAAGACAAAAACAAAGAAAAAAACCAGAGAGAGAGAGAGACAGACAGACAGACAGACAGACATAGGGCCAGGCATGGTGGCACACCCCTTTATTCCCAGCACTCAGGAGGCAGAGGCAGGCAGATCTCTATGAGTTCTAGGCCAGCCTGGTCTACATAATGAGTTGTAAGCATCCTGCCCACAGTGGGGACTCAGTAGGCAGGCAAGATTCAGATGGAGAGAAAGTAGATAAGAATTGGGCCCCAGAGTAGTGGGATGCAGGCTCATTCAGGAGAAGCCCAGGGCACTCCTGGGCACTAGAGATGGGTGACAGGATTTTTGCAAACAGCATATACTTGAATATGAGGGAACTGCACTTGACTCTTAACTTTTTACCCAAAGTAGGTGGCACAGTTACCTGCCCAGAGTTTCAGGAAGAGAGGCTGACTAGAAGGAAAGTGTCAACTGTCAAAACAGCTGAATAGGTAAGAAAAGTGACCGATGCAATGAAGAGGCTCATGGAGCGTTCCTAAGCTGGGCACGGTGGCACATACCTTTGGACCCAACACTCAGAAGGCAGAAGCAGGCAGATCTCTGTGAGTTCAAGGCCAGCCTAGTCTATATAGTGAGTTCCAGGCCAGCTGGGGCTATAGGAAGACCTTGTCTCAAAAAGACCAGAGAGAGAGAAACAGAGAGAGAGACAGAGAGGCAGAGACAGAGAGAGAGACAGAGAGATCCTAAAAGCCTAGTCACAGAGTCACAGGGACACGTCTACAAGAGGCAAGAGGGAGGGGTCCTTTGGAGTGAGGAACTAAGGAAATCAAATATCATCCTGAGTAATATATTAATAAGACAGGTACAACATCGGGGAGACCCAAGATGAATGACACTGTTTGGCTCCCAGGACTGGAGACTGACTTGTCACATAAGATGAAAACCATATAGAGAAAGAAGGGATAAAAAGAAAAGAAAGAGGAAAGAAGAGAGAAAGGGAGAAAGGAAGGTGGGAGGGAAGGAGGTTCAGGAAGGAGAAAAGAAGGAGCTATATAAGCAAGGGGAATAATTACAAAGAATTCAGATCTTTTCTATCAAAAGAATGATCACAGGAATGTAATCTTTGTAATGTTTCTTTGTAATCCCCCCTCCATCTTGTAGTTTTGTTTATGCAAAGGTCCTGCTTCATCCCGGAACTTGATGACAGACTCCTTCCAGAACGCTTCTGTTACATTTCCTTTGTGCCAGTTCTTTTAAAGCAAGCCAATCCTGAAAGACTGTGAGGTCAGACCCTGGCCAATGAGGAAAAGACACAGTCTTCCTTAGGATAAATCCTATCAAGCCAGGCCTGGTGGTGCTTGCCTTTGATCCCAGCACTTGGAAGGCAGAGGCAGGGAGATCTCTGTGAGTTCAAGGCCAGCCTGGTCCACATACCAAGTTCTAGGCCAACTGGGGCTACAGGGAAATCCTGTTTCAAAAACACAAAAAATCTATCAAATTTCCAGCTTGGTGTGCTTGTTCTCCCAAATGAGGCAATACACCCTTTGCAAAAGTGAGATGCCTTGCTGAATTACTTCTGCTCTGTCCAAGTGTTCTTTGTGTGGTACTGGTGGGGTCCTTGGACCTCAGATTTTATTTCTAATTGTGAGGCAGGATAGAAAGACAGAGACAGGGCACTGGAGAAATGGATCAGTGGTTAAGAGCACTGGCTGCGCTTGCAGAAGACCTGGGTTCTATTCCCACCACCCACATGACCCATGACAGTTAACAAGCGCCCATAACTCCAGTTCTAGAGATCCGATGCTCTCTTCTGACCTCCAAGGGCATTGCACAACATGGGTACACTCATACATGCAAGCAAAACACTCATACACAAAAAATAAAAATAAAATTTTTTTTAAAAAAGACAAAGACAATTTTTTTGGTCTTTTTGAGACAGGGTTTCCCTGTAGACCCAACTGACTTGGTACTCGTTATATAGACCAGGTTGACCTCAGTCTCACAGAGATCCACCTGCCTCTGCTTCCCAAGAACTGGGACTAAAGGCATGTGCCAGAAGGCCCATCAGAGACAATTATCATGAAGAAGGAAGGAGTCCTTCACTCCAGAGTCTCTCTCACTATCTGAAAATCAAGAATTACAGCACAATTAGCATTTGCTGTGAAGGTTGCCTACATAGAATTAATAATTCTTTCATATAGATAATTCAAACAAGAATGAACCAAGCTTAAGGACCAAGCATATATGACCTTTCCCCTTTCCCACCATGTACAGCCTTTCTCCTTTCCCAGCTGTAAACCTGCAATCTTCTTGAAATTTCACAAGCAAGTCAACAGTAAAAGGCATGTCTTAAATCCCTTGCGTGCTTTGCGACCAATGAATGGTTTTACCTTATCAGATTGTAATCTTATCCAAGGCGCCTCAGGAACCATCCTATGATCTCATTTACCAAAAAGAAGGTGTATGTGTGTGTTGGGGGGTGAATTCCTCAGAAACCCTATAAACAATGTAATTTCAGGAGCCACCACAATCATATATATGGCTACTGCTAAGACATCAAAGTACGACTCTTGCTTTCTCTTAAGAGACCCACACCCATACTTGGGTGTTG